GATACTAAACTAACCTAAAGAAGGCCACTTTTATTGCTCCCTTAATCAGTACAACAGGTTTCAGCTGTGCTAGCATCATTTCAAAAAGGTTTTCTACGATCATCTCGCCTCATGACGAGTGCGGCAATAACTAGTAAGACTGCTGACCTGCCATTTATTAGCATTTGATCTAAAATTATAGCATAATATTTATCAGTTACTCTGGGGATGAAAAATGAACGAGGCAGTTTATACATGGCCCATGTCTTGCCTCTATTTGTCTTCTTTCCTTCAGTGGGCAGAGTCAAAGGTATAGGTGATTCTGACTGTTAAAGGAGGGTAAACGTTCAAATTAAATGTTATTTCATCTGTTTTTCTCAATATTAATACAGGGGGAGATCTGTTAGTGTTTAATGTTTTATTATGTTCTTGAATTTAAAAGGGTTTCTGGGGTTATTGTGCTGAAGAGTAGAGCCTGTGGTTAGGCTGAGCGATATATACGAGTAAATATGCTCTATATATTCATTCGCACGCAGTACCATCTCTTATCACATATACATCTGTATCTTATGAAGTGTATTACTGAATATAAAATTGCATACATTATGATATGTAAGTAAATATATTGTCACATATTTTTCAATATACGAAAAGCAGCAATTCCTTGTGAATTGTTCAATATATTGTAAGTAGTAACACAATATATTATTCGGTATATTTTCAATCTACCATTAAATCGTTTAATATATTGATCATTCTTATATAAGGAAATATATTTTCTTGGCGTAAGGAAACAGAATTTGATGGAGAAGTGCTTTTGTCTTTACTTTAATAAGAATGATCTTTTGATCACTGATTGTTCTACACTGTTACAAATAGCACAGTGGCTCAGATACTAGAGAAGCGTTTTTCACTGAAACGAACTGATTTTTACTGCAGTAACAGGAACTTTGTAATGTCGTGAGTATGCTGAAGTAGCACTGAAGTGTAATTTTTGTATTAGTTCACGAGGGGCATCATTGAATTGATTTTGAACATTACAGTTCAGATATATCTTCTAAGCAATCACAGTGTAATGACCAGTGAAGCTGATGCTGAGCCAACATTATATTGTAACACTGATGCAACAACATTGATTTTTCTTGTTACTTTAACGCTGATTCAACAAGAGTGATGTAAAGTCACAATGTAACATTGATTCAATCACATTTTCTGTTAAAAATCAATGTTAAGCGAGGGTGTAGAAGTGAGGTCACATTAATTCAGTGTCATTAACACTGACACATGACTGTTGATTTAGCATTGTTTCAGTGGTTTCTTGTTATCTGGATGTGTGTTCCTAATCATTTCCACACTGGAGACTGATGCACACTATCCCAACATCAGCACAGTCAACATGTGATCACACAGCATTATAGCAGCATGAGACCGCTCCCCGCTGACCACATCTGCTTACTGGTTTTCTCAGTATCATAGCATAGCATGCCCCAGACACCATTATTTTACATGACAAATCAATAATTACAACGGGCACAGATGTTTTCATGAGTAGCAGGAATAACCTTCTAGAGAAGAGAAATATTGACAGGAAATATCAACTATGAAACCCCACATAAAAGCTGAACTCAGAACAGCATGCTACTCATACTATAGTCTCATAAAGATATACTGTAGTGCAAGAAACAGTAAGTGTAGTGTGCTATAGTGTAGTAAAACAAAACTTTAGTAAAAAAAAAAAAATCTTGAGAAGTGTGTACTGAATGAGCATATAGAACATCACTACTATTTTTTTATTTATTTAATTATTAATTTCATTCATTCATTAATTCATTCATTTAATTAATGTATTTATTTAGTTACCTAGCTAGCTAGTTAGTTAGTTAGTTGCCCAGTCTTGGAACTAGAAAGAAAGAAAGAAAGAAAGATAGATAGATAGATAGATAGATAGATAGATAGACAAAAAGGAAAATATAATAATAATAATTTTAAATAGGAAATTCTGGAACTAGATAATAATGCTGTCCCACTAAGTGACTAGTGAGTGTCTTTGAGTATTCTGAGTCTTTGAATCACCTATTTAACAGTTTCAATAAAACAACAAAAATAACCTTCATTTGTTTGCAGAAGAGTTTGTAGACTTTCTGAGATGCACAAAGCAGCCTGATTTCAGTGCTGTAGCTGTAGGGTCCAAGCGCTGTGTTTGCCATTTTAGGCTTTGTTTAATTTAATATATCTGTCTTGCTAATAAAAGAAGAGCTTTGTAGGGACTGAAATCCACTGCTGTAGTCAGCACAGGACAGCGCATGGCCCTGGGACTGCACTAAATGAAAGCACAGATGAAGGAATATGCTGTCAGCTTCACAGCACACATCTGATGCCAGTGAGAGGGAAGCAGAAGTCAAACAGGCTCCGACAGAGTCAGAGAAGATCTGCAACAGCAGCTCACACACCTGAAGACAAACACAGAGCCAGCTGAGAGAGCACTGCTAAACACACTCATGCTAATGCACCACAGGCTGAAGCTCATTATACAGGCACTCGACGATGTGTTAATAAGGCACATCTTGTACAGTACTAGTCCAAGAGGTGACGGGTTTTTGTAGCTGAAACCTGGAAATGAGTTATGACCTTAGCACTTCCGGTTCCATTGTCCAGAAGTCACAGGGTTTTTGAAGGGTGTTTCTTTCTTTTTTTTTTTGGTGAAATGCCTGAAATAAGACTGAAAGAGCTGTTGAAGCTGAAGTCATGAGAACATTATGTGGTTTATTTATAGCCTATGTACGTCTGCCAATTGTATTTAGGCTTCATAATTTACAAAATATGTATGAAGATTAACATGATGAACAACACATGTATCATATGTATCAACACATGTATTATGAATCATAAAGTGTTGTTTGCCAAAGAGCTTATTTTCTGCAATAATCCAAAAGCCAATAGAAAAACCCGGTTGTGTTTTCCAGGGTGAGGTGAACTTATGTGAGCGCTCTAGACATGAGCTTTAAGAGGACTGTAGTTTATAATCCACCCTAAAATGAACATTCAGTCATTATTTACACACCCTAACATCATTCCTGTACGTCGTGAACATCATGCAAAGTAATATCCACTCACATGAGATGAACAGTAATGGATGTTTTCGAAACACGGCTTCATGAAGCTTTGGCACATTCATGATTTTTTGGGTTTAAATCAGTGGCTTAGTATCAATTTTACTATGATTTGTTCCCTCCGCCCATGTTTTACTCACCCTCAAGCCTTGACTTTCTTCTTTCAGACGAATCCAGTCGGAGTTATATGAAAAATGGTCCTGGCTCTTCAAGTATTAGAATGAGAGTAGGTGGGTGTTTTTGTTCAACAGTCCAAAAGAAGTCAAATAAAGCACACACATCCATAATAAACCATGCCTCACACGGCTCTGGGGGGTGAATAAAGTCCTCCTGTAGCGATTCCATGCGTTTTCATAAGACAAATATCCATGTTTCAAACATTATAAACTGTTTTCTCTCACGTCTCTTGACTATTCCAGCGGATGACGTATGCGCAGCATAAGCGCTGGTGATTAGTGACGAACACTAGGAGGAGAGACAGCAAAACAAAACGCCGCTCACGAATTAGAAGTACAAACCAAGGATTTGTAAAGAAGATTGTCGGAGGATTTCGATACAAGCCAAGAGGAGACTGGTTTTCCTGTTAAAGTAAGGAAACTTTGCTTCCTTTGCTCCTGTAAACGAACTCACGAGACCAGTATATCTCAGAGGCGCGCACTGAGCATACGTCCTCCGTCATCCGCCAGAACGAGTCAATTTTCACATTTTTGTCTAATTTTAAGTCTAATAAAATGTACATTCAGTCTAATTTTCATTTTTGGGTGAACTAACCCTTTAAGATTTTAACAAAAGAAACTGAACAGTGGCTTAAAGGTAGGGTAGGCGAGAGGCTAGCAATAGCAAGCTAGCTTTGACAGCATAAGACCCCCCTCCCCCCTGCAAATCAGTCTCCAAAGCCACGCCTCCTCCAGACACATGAGTGCCAACCAGTGTCAGCGCTGCCAGATCAGCTCATGTCTCATTCACTGCTCAGACACAGCGCACAACATTACAGTAATACAATTATTTAGCCTATCATAATGTTCGGACTGAATAATCTGGGTGGATGAGCATTTTATCTTTATCTTGATATAAATACATATAAATAAATGTAGAGCACTTTACTTCGTGATTGCTGTCGGGACATGAAGAGACTTTCATCCAGCAACAAAACATGTTTATGAACCAAATCCCCTGCCCTGCCTTTAATTCTGTTTATGGCAGAGCAGGGAAAATCCTAACACGTTATGTTTGGCTAAAGTTCTTTGGCATCTTTGCTATGTTAGGAGTTCAGTTAAATGTGTTCAGTGTCTAAACAGAGCCGTGACCTCTCTACAGCTTGTCGTAAAACTTCACGTTCATTCTTTAACTCAATTTGATATAGCATCATTAATGTGTCTGGAACTGTTAGGAGTAACCATGGCTTTAAACTTGATTAAGTGTACTTATAGTACAATAATCTGAGAATCTGTTTTTTAGTGATTTTCAGAGTTATTATGTTTATTTGTAGAATATATTAGAACTAATATATTAGAAATATACTTTCTAATGGTAGGCTGTTGCTGATTTATCAGTGGGAACAGATTTCTAAACTGACAGAATGGTTTACAAATCTTTCTGAATTTATGAATCTGTGAGCAAAGAGCAAAACTGAGAGTAGAGATTTCTGAATCTGTGAGAACAACATCATGTGTACAGATGATCTGATCTTCAGAAACGTTTCTTCTCTGTGCAGCACAGCAACTGGAAATGTATTTTTCTGAATGGATGTCAGTGGAGAGGATTCACTAGGCTGAATACACCGCTTTTGTGGTCCTCTCTCTCTATATAAAGTAAATGTTATGTCCATAGGATACCGCATTTCCGAAGCTATGTGTTTTATGTAGATACACTTATATTTCGTCCCAATATCGCAATGCAAGGTGACTCAACTTCTCATTCGCCTGTGTGTGAGTCTCCACCCCTGATGGAGCGGGCAAATCTCGCGAGAGCGCCTCCTCTCGCGATGCCGCCCAGCATCGCCGCTACTGCAGTGCCTATAAAGCGGCGAGACACGGAGTTGCGGCAAGGTCGCGCAGCATCACGGCGAACGCTAGCCACGGAACGCTCGGTTCACGGAGATCGTTAGCGTCCTCTGGAGCGCGTCGGATATTTCCTCACACGCGTTCAGGCTGGACGCACGCGCCGCTGTTCTCCGTTTGCATCCGCATGTGCGGCGTTGTTTTAGTCTTCCTGCAGCATCAGTGTCACCTCCACCGGCTCCGCTGCACTTCACCGGACACTATCGGCTCTGAGGAGGCTTTTCTGTCATGTCGGCGTCACCTCCGCCCCCCGCCGCCGCGAGCGACCATCTCTCCGCGCCCGAACCCGACGCGCTCAAGCCCGCCGGTCCCACGCCGAGCCAGAGCCGCTTCCAGGTGGACCTGGTGTCGGAGTGCGCCGCGGAAACGGCGCTGGCCTCGGACTCCTCCCCACCCGAATACTCCGCCGAGCCGCTCCGGTACCCCGTGTCCGGCGGCGAGGAAGCCAAAGGCCGGTTTCGCGTCGTGAACTTCGCGGCCTCGAGTCCGGACTCGGCGCCGGCGGACTGCGCGCAGAACGGGGACACGGTGATGAGCGAGGGCAGCCTGCACTCGTCCAGCGGCGGCCAGCAGCACCATCACTACGACACCCACACCAACACCTACTACCTCCGCACCTTCGGACACAACACCATCGACGCCGTGCCCAACATCGACTTCTACCGGCAGACCGCCGCGCCGCTGGGCGAGAAGCTCATCAGACCCACCCTCTCGGAGCTGCACGACGAGCTGGACAAGGTCCGACACACACGGTGCTTTAGCGGGCTACTACCGAACACACAGACCTGAGAAAACACGGGTTTGATAGAGTATCAATACTGAACACACACAGGCGTTAGTGGGTTACTGCTGAACACATAGATGGACACTGATTTAGTGGGCAAGCAATGAAAACAAGTGACTAGTTTAGTGGGTTAGTACTCAAAACATGTCTGACACTAGTTTAGTTGGCTAGTACTGAAAACAAATGTTTGACATTTCATCAGATGTTAGATGAGATCAGTAAACACCAGCTTCATATCAAATGTTTGTCTTGGTGATGATGCTCTATAACACTTCAGAATCAACATGCAGCGCTGTGACCTTTGACCTGTGTGCGTAGTGACTATGGTGCGTGTGAGGATGCTGATGGTGGGAAATGATATCTGAAGATCAGACTCTTCACTGTATCATTGTACATGTAGTTCAGTGTTGTGAAAACACAAGGCCAGGCGGTGTTTACATTCTTCCTCTGGACTCAGATGTGTGTGTGAGCATGTGTGTGTGTGTGAGCGTGTGTGTGTGTGTGTGTGTGAGCGTGTGTGTGTGTGTGTGTGTGTGTGTGTG